TCATCACAGCCATGCCTCTGCCTTTTCACGAAGAACTGGAAAGGCTCAAATTATTAACTATCAAAGCAGAACACTTTAGAAATGATAGAACGGCGCAGAAATTGTAAAGGAAAGCAGATCAGTTGTCTGGAAATCTCCCAACTGCTAATACGCTCAAATTGTAATCTAAATGTCTTTTTGTTTTGAATTGTCTGGGATTAGGGTTGGGAAAAGACTCAATTATTCTACTCAAACTCTTCTGAATTATTTATGAAAACCAAATAAAGGATAAATTGGGCACTGATGAACCGAGGACCTGGCGGCAAAGTGAAAGTTGGGTACCAGAAAACAAGCAATTTTCCCTCAATAGGAGTGTTTACTGTTTCTCCCCGTCCGCAGGAGCCGACAAATTGTCTCCGAGGCTCGGCTGCCCCGCTCCCCTCGCCACCGCCGCCGCCCCGGCCAGGCTCCGTCCTCCCTTCCAGCCTGGCAGCAAGATCCAGCTTATTGCCTATCGATCTGCCGGCAACGGGGACGGCCAAACCAAGACGTTAACTTTATTACCTCCGCTTGCTCGGGATCCTCAGTCAAGTTTCGGGGATGCTCGGAGACGCATGGCACCCATGCCCCACTGCCAGCCTCGCCCTTCGCTAGCCTCAGCTTTAAAGACGGGGGGAAAGAAAATGAAATTGCAAAACCCTGAGATATTTTTGCCTTCGTACAGGGATCGGGGTTGGCGTGCTCGTGCAGCCTCAGAGCTTGGGGAGAAGGAAGGCCCACGGAGAAAACATCCCTCCCAGTATCTGCTGATCCCACAGCGGCATGGGTGAGCAAGGAGGAGCATTTCACAGCGGGGTATGGCACGGAAAAGGCAAAATGAAGGGAGATGCCCAACGCTGCCCTGGGAGCTGCAGCAGGGAGGCAAATCCGGTAGCTGCTGCCAGGGCTGCACGTCTCGCTCCCATCGCTGGCCTTGGCACCCACGGCACCACCAGCCCTGCACCCAGCACCAGCCCCACTGCACCCACCACTGCCCTCTCATGCTGCCTGCAGAGCAACGGACGATAGGATGCAAAATGCAGGTGTCTGTGGATCTCAAAGTGATGGATGAAGAGTAAGAATTGGCAAAACCACTCCTGAAGACACCATTCCTCAGCACAAGCGTATCCCAGGAGGCAGCTGCAGCAAACCATCACGTACCACACGAAAGCTGCAACTGATGCAGCAGCTGCCTTCACCTCCTCTGCCACCGCCGATCCCAAAGGAGCCCATCAGCTTCGCATCTCGGCTCCCCATCCACGTCGCCCACACAAGAGGAGACAGGTTCATTCCCAATGGGATCACACTGACCTCATGTTACAGACCAGGCTCTACTGAAGCAACCGGAGCAGGACACCGATCTTGTCCCAGGAGCTCGGGCCACCAGCACAGAGGTCCTGCTGCTCCAGCTGTCCCATCAGCCGTGTGGAGGAGCTGTCTGACCACACGCACGCTCCCGTCCAGATCTCTTTGTGTAGGAAACAACTTCTGGGTAACTACTGATCCCTGGAGTGAAGAACTACTGGGTAGTCACAGACTCGAGCTCACCCCTCCTGTCCCAGCACCACCACTGCTGTTCCTGCAGATCCAACTGCTCTGG